TCCTCTCCCTTCCACGCAGTGAGCTGGTGTCATTCTGCTGGCCTGGTATAACATGGCCACCGGAATTAATTAATCAAACTACCTTCTGCTACTAAAAATAGCCCTCCGAGCCAGGTAGCGCGTCCTCTCTCCATCGGCCTGTCTTCACTTCTTAATAACATGACGAAGCCTCGGGGAGGCGCGACGGTGGCACAGAAATCAGCATGTAAATTGTTAATTAAGACACTCAGAACTGCAGATATGACAGTTATGTGTGACAGCTTAAGTCAACATTTAGAAGATGACGATTTCCTAACCCTCGTTAGATGAGACCCATATATTGCCACTTCAACACTATAGAGCGATCATCATTAATAATGCCGAAGGGTGGTGAATGGAGGTTATTTAAGAGGTGTTCATTCACTGGGAAGGAAGAGCTTGGAATCATCTCACTCGTCAACCTCAGTCTCGCCCCCTCTAGTTAAATTTCACGTGGAACTCTCCAATTATCTAATCATCTGTACATGGCTATCTAGGGTCTATAGAGATGTGTGCTGTATGGTAACGCATAGAAAAAGTGGTCCTTGGATGTGGTGACTGCATTAGTTTTCTTCATTTTCACCGGGTGATCCTGCTAGTAAAACTTCCTGTCAGCGTGACAACTAGTAATGAATTGGGGCTTAGTTTGAACTCAGTTTGCCCAAGAAGAGGAGATTTTCTATAGTCCTGTCCTAGGGTGGCCACACTGCTCCTCCACAGATACAGTATGGTAAGTGTTGTCCTGGGGCTTGATGTGAACCCAGTTTGCCCAAGAAGAGGAGATGTTCTATAGTCCTGTCCTAGGGTGGCCACACTGCTCCTCCACAGATACAGTATGGTAAGTGTTGTCCTGGGGCTTGATGTGAACCCAGTTTGCCCAAGAAGAGGAGATGTTCTATAGTCCTGTCCTAGGGTGGCCACACTGCTCCTCCACAGATACAGTATGGTAAGTGTTGTCCTGGGGCTTGATGTGAACCCAGTTTGCCCAAGAAGAGGAGATGTTCTATAGTCCTGTCCTAGGGTGGCCACACTGCTCCTCCACAGATACAGTATGGTAAGTGTTGTCCTGGGGCTTGATGTGAACCCAGTTTGCCCAAGAAGAGGAGATGTTCTATAGTCCTGTCCTAGGGTGGCCACACTGCTCCTCCACAGATACAGTATGGTAAGTGTTGTCCTGGGGCTTAGTGTGAACCCAGTTTGCTCAAGCCTACAAACAGTGACCAAAAACCCCCACCACCACCACCTTCATCCCAGCCCAATCAGTGGCAGTAGTTGTGACAGGGGCAATCCCCAGTTTTATATGTGGGTTTTAGCGAACCGGGTTTACACCAAGGCCCAGCTCATCATTGGTGACCACGGTTACTGTATCTGTAAAGGAGCAGCGTTGTCACCCTAGGACAGAACTATAGAACACACTCCCTATCATCTTCTCCATATCATTGTACTCCAAAGAGAGAACTTATGCTGGCCATACACCAGTAGAATTTTGTTCACATTTTTCAGAATGTTCATTCGATTTTCTAGTGGTTAGTCGGGTCTAATCAGATACCAGCTCAGAAGAAAGAAGGCACGGAGAGATTCTCATTGGTCAGCGCGGTCATGTGTCTGTGCTGCCCAATCAGCAACCATTTTGTTGCTATACAGCCTCTGGTGCTATGTAATTAACTTTTCAAGTGCCAGGACCATTATATGGAATGGTGTGGGCAGTATGAGAGGGGCATCAATACAGATAAGTATGCTGGGGGTGGGGGTATCTGGGCGAGGTGGGTGTTGTTGGGGGTATCGGGGCGAGGTGGGTGTTGTTGGTTCACCTTTCTTGTAAAAAGAAGAATCAGCTCTTTAAATATTTGTGCTCTGTATGTGTGAAGATGGATGTAAGCTCCTCTGTACAGAGACTGATGTGACTGTGGGAGAAGGGACATTAGAGTGTCAGCGCCTCTGTACAGAGACTAATATGAATGGCTCAGTGATCTCTGTACAGCACTGCGGTATCTGTCAGAGCTATAGCAATGTATAATAATAGTGTGTGACTGTGGGGGGACATTAGAGTGTCAGCGCCTCTGTACAGAGACTAATATGAATGGCTCAGTGATCTCTGTACAGCACTGCGGTATCTGTCAGAGCTATAGCAATGTATAATAATAGTGTGTGACTGTGGGGGGACATTAGAGTGTCAGCGCCTCTGTACAGAGACTAATATGAATGGCTCAGTGATCTCTGTACAGCACTGCGGTATCTGTCAGAGCTATAGCAATGTATAATAATAGTGTGTGACTGTGGGGGGACATTAGAGTGTCAGCGCCTCTGTACAGAGACTAATATGAATGGCTCAGTGATCTCTGTACAGCACTGCGGTATCTGTCAGAGCTATAGCAATGTATAATAATAGTGTGTGACTGTGGGGGGACATTAGAGTGTCAGCGCCTCTGTACAGAGACTAATATGAATGGCTCAGTGATCTCTGTACAGCACTGCGGTATCTGTCAGAGCTATAGCAATGTATAATAATAGTGTGTGACTGTGGGGGGACATTAGAGTGTCAGCGCCTCTGTACAGAGACTAATATGAATGGCTCAGTGATCTCTGTACAGCACTGCGGTATCTGTCAGAGCTATAGCAATGTATAATAATAGTGTGTGACTGTGGGGGGGACATTAGAGTGTCAGCTCCTCTGTACAGAGACTAATATGAATGGCTCAGTGATCTCTGTACAGCACTGCGGTATCTGTCAGAGCTATAGCAATGTATAATAATAGTGTGTGACTGTGGTGGGGACATTAGAGTGTAAGCTCCTCTGTACAGAGACTGATGTGACTGTGGGGGGGACATTAGAGTGTAAGCTCCTCTGTACAGAGGGTGATGTGAATGGCTTAGTGCCCCCTGTACAGCACTGCGGTATATGTCAGAGCTATAGCAATGTATAATAATAGTGTGTGACTGTGGGGGGGGGGGGACATTAGAGTGTAGGCTCCCCTTTTC